GACATATTTTCTTTTTTGTGATCGCCAGAGGAATCAATGGTTGGATGGCGATGGCGGAATCACATGGAAGAAAATGAAGAAGAAAGGGCAACAGGTTAGATGAGGTGGGGTGGGGGAGAGAGATTTTCTTTTTTATCATTTATATTAATTTAATTTTCTAGCTTATTAAAGGGTGAAAATTATATTTTATTTTTCAAATTTAAAATTTTAGGCCCATGTGCCATGTGTCATAATTCTATTCGTGATTTTGTCAAGATAATGTGTGTGATTTACACACACAATATTTTTAAAGCTAATTGTCATTTGATGTTCAATAGATAAATATTCGCCACTACTAAAGTGTCAACTAGGTAAAGGTCTCAGTTGAAGTGTCTAAGTGAATTATGCGGGCAACTTTAAGGGGCTGTCAATGACTTGAGCCATTTAGATAATGTGGTATGTGTTCACGTGAATCCACATAAGCTAGATGGGCTGGCGGAGATTACAATGTGGAGAATTGAATCCTCATCAATGTGCTAAAAGTTTTAAGTAGAAAGACAATCACCCGAAATTTCAATAAGTAAAAAAAATTAATTTGTTTGAAATTTCAATAAGTATAATATTTAGAATTGACGGTGGAAACTACCGCGAAATTGCTCCAAAAGAAATTTCAAAGGAAATGACATTAAAATAACTATTGTGTAGTAAATTTCAAAGGAGATGACATTAAATTTCAAAGGAAATTTATTATTGCAATAAAGATGGTTGTTGACATTAGTCGGATTAGGTAAGACTGTAAGAGCTAATTAATTCTAATTAATTCTTCCTCCATTCAATTTTACTTGTTCATAACATCAAAAAAAGATGGTTACTTTTACTTATCAAATTATTTTTAAAAAACAAAAGATAATTTATCATTTCATACCGATTTTACCCTTATTATTAAGTACATCCGTGATCCGCCTGAATGGTATCTTTTTACTTGCTTCAAACATGACCTGTGTTTGTTCACTGCCTGACCTCCCATTCACTTGGTTCTGGCCATATAAATTAATGCAAGTTTTTTAATTTATATCTATACTACCTTAAAAACGTGAACTTCCAAATTTAAATATTGAATTACTATAATACTCCAAATTAAAATATTTATCTTATTTATTTAATTAATTGTATTATATTAAAAGTAGATACTTTTTTATCATTAAAGGGTTGTGATCCCTATATACAATAATGGAATTAAGTAATACATTTGAAAAACAAATCATGCTTAAACTATTACTCTATTATTTGGCGAGTTTCATACCTAAACTATATGATGTTCACATTAAATGTCATATTCCTCCTCCATGAAGTTTTAATATGAGCTCCTGGGTTTTGTAGTTTATGTATTAAACTTGCAAAGCGAAAATACTTGAGTGGTTTATTAACCTATTCACTCTTAAACGAGTGTTGTGATTACTATATCTCTCAGTTATATATTACATATAAAAATCTTCTTAGAATATATATGTTCACAAGTGTTATTAACTATACAGTGAAATCTGGAAAAAATAAAAATAGAAGTACAAAACACCAATTTTTTAGAAGAATATTATTTTGTATTCCCCGGATTTTAATAACACAAGCAAATTTCTAGTGGAAGAGTTACCATAATAATAATAATGAACAAACCATAGATTATAATTAAATAGGGTTCCCTTATTTATATGAAAAAGAGATCAAACAGAATTCCTTCTACATTTTAATATTTTATCAAATAATTTTCAACTTAAGGACCATTTCATCATACCAAAAAAATTAATGTTTTGTATTACTCCCTCTGTCCCTAATTACTTGTCCATTTTTTAATTGACACACTTATTAAGAAAACAATAATTGATGTAGTGAGTTTATCATTTTACCCCTATTAATTATTAAGTGGATGAATTAAAAATTAGTTCTACCATTTTCAAAGTAATTAATTGAGGGTATAATGGATAAATTTTTTTTTTGTCATTTCTTGATTTGTCAAAATGAACAAATAATTAGGAAAAATTAAAAAAAATGTGGACAAATAATTAGAGACAGAGGGAGAGGGAGTATGATTAATGTGATAGTACCTGTGGGGGCAGTGAAGACTATGGAAATAGTGATATCGAAGACTTGGGCAAATACCAATTGCTCTGTCAACATAAGTGTTGCTATATAAATTATATTATTTTGTATAATTGGAAACATGTAAAAAATTATATTATTTTCTATTGAATCATTTTTATTTATTATTTAAAATATTTTAATAGTTTTAAAAAAATTATTTTAATAAATAATGTTTTATCACTCTTATAACATGTAAGAAGTTAAAATTAAGTTTGAACTCACATGAAATCACATATACCCGCAACCCGCCCGCCCCACATTAATTAAAAAAAAAACCCATTCAACCCGCTCCGAACAACCTTAAACCCGTCCCACCCCACATAGCCTTAAACTCATTCGGCCCCGCATATCATTGCCGTCCCTATATATAATAATGGAATAATGTAATACATTTGAAAAACAAACCAAGCGTTGAAGCAGTCTGTTTCCAAGTGCATATACAGTAACAACATGAAGAAGAACATTTTCTCATTATTGATTCTTCTCTTTCTAATTCAATTTTCTATATCATTAGTTCCTCAAATGAGACTGATCAACAAGCTCTACTAGCTTTCCAAAATCTTGTTACAACTCCCACTCATTTTTTGGCCAAAAATTGGACCAAAAATACTTCTTTTTGCACTTGGTTTGGTGTCACTTGCAGTCCAAAAAGGCAAAGGGTTGTAGCCTTGACTCTTCCTAATTTGCAACTTCAAGGCACAATTTCCCCCTCTTTGGCCAATTTGTCCTTCCTCAGTGTTCTCAATCTCCAGAACAACAGCTTCCGCGGTGGCATCCCTTATGAACTTGGCCAAATGCCTCGCTTGCGAGTGATTGACGTTAAAAACAATCAGCTCAACGGAAGTATACCAACAAGTCTATTTCAACACCAGAGAGTTCAAGTAATTTCATTGGCTTTGAATGAATTCAGTGGTGAGATGTGGAGAGGGCCATGGTATGTACCCCAACTCAGAGTCTTAAATCTCAGGAATAATAGCCTCACCGGTATAATCCCTCCTTCTGTTGGAAATGCCACGAAGTTGCTGAACTTCAGTTTGTATGGGAATAAAGTTGGCGGCAACATTCCAAAGGAAATTGGTAATCTGAGCCAGCTTGCATTTTTGTACTTGTTCAATAATCAATTAACAGGTTTCATTCCCGCAACATTGTTTAATATTTCATCACTTGTTGCCCTATCTCTTGGAACCAATAGCCTTTCTGGTCCTCTCTTGCTTGGTAAAGGAAATATTGTCTCAAATCTCAACTTTTTAAGTATATATGACAACCAAATTTCTGGTTGCATTCCTACCAACATATGCCAACTCACAGAGCTCAAATTTTTGTCCATATCTGTCAACAACATAACTGGAGACATACCAAGAAATATTGGTTGTTTATCCAAACTCGAGAAGTTTTATATTGGTAATAATCTAATAAAGGGGACTAATCCCACTTCATTGGGAAATATTTCCACTCTGCAATATCTTCATTGTGGAAATAATCGCATAGTGGGGAAAATTCCTCCGGAATTAGGAAGGTTATCGAATTTGAGGGAATTAAGCTTTGGGATGAATTATAATCTTATTGGTCAAATTCCAGAGGCTATTTTCAACATATCTTCTTTGGAATTAATCAATTTCAGTTTCAATAACCTGTCGGGTAGAATTCCAACCACTACAGGTCTTCATCTTCCGAACCTTGAAGTACTTCAGTTGGGAGGTAATAAGCTTGAAGGGGAAATTCCGTTGTTCATAACAAATGCTTCCAAGCTTCAGATAATATCGCTAGATGATAACTCTCTCACAGGAACTATTCCTAACAATTTGGGGAACCTTCGTGAGCTGCAAATACTGCTTCTACATACTAATCAACTTACCAATGAACCAAGAGAGCATGAGTTATTATTCTTCAATTCTTTAGCGGACTGTAGGATGTTGAAATATCTACAAGTGGGTTCCAATCCATTGAATGGCGTTCTGCCCAATTCTATTGGGAATCTTTCATCTACTATTCAAAACATTTATATAGGAGACACACACATCAATGGCCTCATCCCCACAAGTATAGGCAACATGACCGGTCTTATATCCTTAAGCCTTGGCGGAAACAACTTGACAGGGAATATCCCTTCTGAGATTGGTAAGCTTAAACAACTCCAAAGACTCGATCTATCTAACAATAAATTGCAAGGACATATTCCAGAAGTGGTATGCAATTTGTCTGATTTGAATCAATTATATCTGTTTGGTAATGAGCTCTCTGGGTTAATTCCAGAATGCTTAGGAAATCTTAGCATGCTTCAACAGCTTTATTTGGCTTCTAATAAATTTTCATCAAAACTTCCATTGAGCCTTTGGAAAATGAGTGGTCTTCTCTATCTAAACATGTCACAGAATTCAATAGAGGGAGAAGTTCCATCAGATATTGGAGGACTGAAAGCCATTGTAGAACCATATCTTTCCAGTAACCACTTTTCAGGCATGATATCAACCAGATTCGGGGAACTCCAAAATCTGCAGTATCTTGACCTATCCAACAATTCATTTTTTGGCCGAATTCCATTATCCTTTGCCAACTTGATAAACTTGGAATTCTTGAATTTGTCTTTAAATGCACTGTCAGGTACTATTCCTAAGTCTTTGGAAAAACTCTCATACCTTAAAAGCATTAATGTTTCATTTAATGATTTAGAAGGTGAAATACCGAGTGGTGGTGTGTTTGCAAATTCCACTCTGCAATCATTTGTTGGGAACAAAGGTCTATGTGGAGTGCACATATTAGAGATTCCTGCTTGTGCTATCACTAATCCTGGAAAACAATCAAAGCTTAAGGAGGTTCTGCTAAAAATTGTTACTCCAGTGGTTATTGCATCCTTTCTGATATTCTTGTTCGTTTCAATTTGGATAATGAAACGACAGAAGAAAGGGAAGTCCAAAGATGTGGAGAAGATACCGGAGATGGGGACTCATCAATTAGTTTCTTATCACGAGATTCAACGAGCAACAAATAATTTTGATGAATCCAATTTAATTGGTGAGGGAAGCTCTGGCTCTGTGTACAAAGGCACATTGTTTGGTGGAACTGCAGTGGCTATTAAGGTTCTCGATTTGGAAAATGAGCAAGTATGCAAGAGGTTTGATGACGAATGTGAAGTGATGAGAAATGTTAGACACAAAAATCTTGTTCCATTGATTACTACATGTTCTAGTGACTATATAAGAGCCTTTGTTCTGCAATTTATGCCCAATGGGAGTCTTGAGAATTGGCTGTACAAAGAAGATCGCCACTTGAACCTTCATCAAAGAGTCACTGTAATGCTTGATGCAGCTATGGCAGTTGAATATCTACATCATGGTCATGTCGCTCCAATAGTTCATTGCGACTTAAAGCCAGCCAATGTTCTTTTGGATGAGGATATGGTGGCTCATGTTGGTGATTTTGGAATCTCTAAGATTTTAGCTGTCAGCAAGTCCGTGGAACATACAGAAACATTGGGCACTCTTGGATACATTGCACCAGGTATAAAAATCTACTCTCATTGATTTTCTCTTATCATAATTATATTTCAATTGAGTAACTTTTCTTCATTCCTTTTCTAAGAATATGGCTCGGAGGGAATAGTGTCCACTAGTGGTGATGTTTATAGCTATGGCATTATGTTGATGGAGGTTTTGACGAAAAGAAGGCCAACAGATGAAGAGATATGCAATAGAAATCTTGACTTGAGGAAATGGATTACACTATCATTTTCACGGCGTATGATGGACATTGTGGATGTCAATCTTTTTTGTGAGGAAGAACAAATCAGTAATAAAAGTGAAATGTGCATAGCGTCGATGATAGAATTGGGTTTAGACTGCACAAAGGAAACGCCATATTCAAGAGTGACAATGAAAGAAGTAGTGAAGAGGCTTAACAAAATCAACAACACATTTCTGGAAACATAGAAGTGATAATCATCGATTTTCTTAGCTGCAAATTAATATGATGCTTTTTGTTTCTTTAATAAAGTTGTTGTATAGTACTACTTGATGTCTTTGTGATTATGTTTACTCTATGATCTATTTGTGATTATGTTTACTCTTATGATCTATTTGCTGAAACAATTCAGAATGCAAGTTCCAAATAGTTCCTACACCATTGGTTTGAATACCGAAGGAAAAATCAGGACATTGTAGACGAATGCAGAGTCTGTCCAGTGAATAAAATCTTTGGTTTTGTATAAAAGAGCAGTAGTTCCTCTGTTTTCTCTTTCATTTCCTATGACGACTCTCCAAATCCCATCAGGCCCTAACCACGCGGTGGCCGGGTTGGGTCCCTAAACAATTCTTTCTCCTCTTCATTTGGTGTCATGATTGGACTACGAGGTGATTTAACCCATTCGACTAGGTAAGGGTTGGATGGGTCTCCTGAATAAGGTAAATACTTAATGTAATATTTCACAAAATCACGATAACCTCACCAACAACCGTTGATGTGATATTTTTGGAGTTCTTACCTTTAAACAAAAAGGAATAAGCTAGTTGGGCAAACGGGAATTACAATCTGGAGAATCAAATGCTCATCAGTAAAGTAAAAGTTTAAGTAGAAAGTCAATCAACCGAACTACTAAGAAATATGAATCCAATTATTGTTATTTATTAATTTAAAATCATTGTAAAAAATTATAAACTTAACATCATAAATCCGCCTCTCATGTGGATATGTAAAAGGTCAAGCAACTTGTTTTAGACAGCCGTTGACTGACTTTTCTCAATCAATTCCTTAACCCTTAGTTTACGCAATTCCTCAATGTGACGACATTTCAATAATGTGTAATACCCCACAAATAAGTTTGTGGAATGGCCAAACACATATGTAGACCCTTAAACTTGTCCTTAAATTTTATTTTGGCGCTCCAACTCAATGTTGGTCCATTTTAACCCTTCAACTCCAACTTTTATGTTCCATTTTGGCACTCTTTTTCAAAGAATCAACTAAGTGGGATGTGAGTACTTCACATGCCATTATTGTGTGAAAAATAATGGATGAACATAGTTTTTTTAAAAAAATATATATTTTTTTAGAGTTTTTGTACATTATTGTATGAGAAAATAATCGACGAAAGTGTGTTGGTTTTTTTTTAAAAACAATTAGTTAAATTAAATAATATCACATATATTTTTTTTTCATATCTAGTCTACTTGGACTAACTCAAATATCAGTTTTCTAATTTTTCATTCAACTAAATACGAGTGAAAAAAAAACTCATGTTCATTGCTAATTAATAACACTACAAAAAAAATATTGAAAGTCAATAGACTTCGTTGGATTGTCATTGATTTATTTAAGAAAGAAAATCGACGCACTTTCGTTGGTTATTTTTCACTCAAAAATATAGGGAAACTCTTAAAAAGAAATTGTTACTTTTTTTATAAAAAAAATAAAATCAATGATCATCTGTCAGTTTTAATTTTTTACATTAACTAACGGATGATCCCCGATTTTTAAAATGCAAAATTGCAGTTGAATAACATATATAGAACTAAAAAAATCATAAAATTAGTCGTTTGTATTATATGGTACATAAAAGAAATAGAGTGGAAGGATAATCTTTTATTATTTTTAAAAAAATACTTTTTTTTCTTTCACTCTTTTAGAGAGTGTTTGATGCACACTCTCTACCATATCAATTAGAAGTGTCAAAATGGAACATAAAATTTGGAGTTGAAGGGTTAAAATGAAACAAAGTTGAGTTAGAGTGCCAAAATAAAACTTAGAGACAAGTTTAAGGGTCTGCATATGTGTTTGGCCTTGTGGAATTATCACAACCATTTAACTTAATTATTATATCATTTTTGTCCACCTTACATAAAGAGTGTGTGCACTCTCTCAAAGAGAGTGAGCACCTAAAATAACTAATATAATTTTATTTTTACACGTGTTTTATTATAAAATATATTTTCTAATTATTTTAACTTTTTTTCCTTATTATTTTCTCTTTCTTTCTTCTTTCTTCTTTCTTCTTCAAAAATTCATTGTCATCTCCATTGAACCTTTTCACTTTCAATGTCACCATTTTTACCACAATTTTACCTTCTTCTTTTTTTTACTATTTGTTTTACTCTCTTTAATTTTAAAACTTTATGTAAATATTTTTTACATTTCGAACAACTTGATAAACCCCATTATATTTCAAGATGATTAGGATGTATCATATAGTTTTTTTAAATCTGATTTCGATCAAGTTCTTTCAATTTTCGGGGAGTTCATTGATTCTTTTAAAATTATCATTTCTAATTTTGAAGTTATATGAAAAAAGAGTGTTATATTCTAGTGTTTTGATGATCCTCACAAATACAGGGATCCGGTCCTTTGCAGAGTATTTCCATCTAGATTCATAGTGGTGCATAGTTGTAAAGCTATCTTTACAGCTGCCTTGTCAGGTTGGTTGGTGAGATGTGCAACGTACTTCACCAATAGGAAGGGCGTACAAAGTTGTTTGTTTAAATGATCAAAACCCTTGTTGGTAACTGCTATATACAACAATAAACATTATTCATTCAAGAAGAGAGAGAGAGAGCCAACAAGTCTTTTTCAAGAACTCAAGCATCAAAGAACACAGGGACCTGGTCCCGAAAAGTCTGCGTACGAGAAAAGGACGAAAAGACAATTGTCAAAAGGTTGTCGACTCTGATATGGTTGGTGCACAACTTTTCATAACAGCAGGCTCTCAGCCAATAGCCTCGTCCCAAGGGTTTGTGTCCATGGTGATACAGTCTCTTCTCAAAACACAAACTCAAGATTTGGCAAACAAAGTTGTGAATTTCTGAAAATTCATAAGCTTAAAAGGAAAGGTTAACTTCAAGGAAGAACAATGATCATGCTCAACAAAGGGACCTGATAGAGTGCTGAAGCGTCTTTGTTGAGTTTGAGCTTTGTGTCTATCATTTTATAAGGTTCATTTCAATAGACACAACCTCAGTTTTTTGTATCTTGAAAATTCTCAAGAACACAAGCAAAAATCCCATCTATCAAGAAGTATTATCCTCAAGAGCACCTGATAGAGCTGCAAACTGTCTAGTTGTCTTAGGATTATATCTTTCGTGCTTATATTGTAAATTTACTCCTTTTTGGGTATGTAGCAAGAGTTAATGGGAAATGGAGGGAAGATGAAAAGAGAGGAACTTGGAAAGTTGGAAACTTTAAGAGCTGGGAACTTGAAAAGTCCTCTTATGCTTTAGTGAAAAGACATTTCTCCCTCATCGGTAGTGGAAAGAAAAATAGGAGAGTTTAAATATAGAAACACTCCTATTAATTGTTAAAAGGGTTGGAAAGAGGGACCCCCTAGCTTTGTCGTCGTTCGCTCGACTTCGGCTTCGGAAAATGATCGAGAGATTATTTTTTGGACAAAGTTTGTTTTAATTATTTAGTTAGTTAATTAACCAAAACGTTTCAATTATTTAGTTAATTGAACGACTTGACTTGGATTCGCGCGCGACCCATTTTATTTTTTCCCGCTGTTGGAAGTGAATGTTCTGAAAGGTTGCAACTTTCAAGAACAACCATGACTGTTTGAAAGGTTGCAAACTTTCATGAATGGTCGTGTGGATTCTGAAAGGGTTGCAACCTTTCGGAACCAATTCCTTTTTCCTATAAATACATTGATTCTTCAGACTTTTTCTTACGAATTTTTTTGATTTCTTTTTTTTTTCTTTTGCACAAAATTTCTTCGTGTACTTTACTACTGTTGAGTGGTTCGCTGACACTAGAGTTTTGGGTATCATCATTCTATCTTAGGAGGACATATTCCAAATCAAACCTCAGATACTAGAGGGGAATAATTTCCTTAAGGGGACACTGATGCATTCAGTTGCTTGATCTTTTCTATTCTGTTTTTCCAGATTCTGGTACGTTGTTACAACTTTTAGTTTGTAAATTAATTTATGTTCTTCTGCTCTTCACTAGTTCATTAAACTTTGGTAACTTCGTGTTTCTGCAAAATTTATTGGAATCAGTACTACTGTTTTTAAACACAGATTGGCAACATTCCTAATCTATAAAGGAATTAGATCGTTGTTCAGTTCATCTAAAAGTCTAGATTGATGTTAACTGATTTAGTGGGTAGTGTTGTCTTTGCTTACTCAAATTCTAAATCATCTAGGAGCTAGCTGATTTAGTGGGCAATTTTGTATCTGCTTAGTTAAAATCTTAGTTGTCTAGGGTGAAATGACTTAGTGGGCAGTGTGGTATCTACTTAGGCTCAGTAAGTAATAGGCGTATTACTTAGCTTTGATATTAAGAGGTTAATCTCGTTGGTGGTTGTAATCTGTGTTTCACTTTTGCTTGAGAAGATTAGTGAAAACAGTTGAAAATCCTGTGTGACAGGTCGTGATTTTACTCCCTTGAGCAAGGAGGTTTCCACGTAAACTGCTGGTGTTGTTTTTTGTTCATTATTTAGTCTTCATTACTGCTCTTGCTAAGTCAAGGGACCTGGTCCGTTGGCTGATAGTGGACGCACTTATTCTATCAAGGAGTAA